GCCTGACATCGCAAACACTTTGCAAGCTCTGGCTGAGCCATGCCTTCTAATACCCCGTTGACCAGAGCAAGGGGCACGGCTGGGTCCAGAGTGGTGGCTGGAAGGCAGCGCTATGTGGCTGAGGCGTGGATTCAGGGATGGGTGAGGAACTGGGGAACAGTCATGTCATCTCCCACACCCCATGAGTTTTCTTCACCAGGCCCTTTCTTCCCAGGCTGAAGGCATTGCTCTGTCTTGGGTGCTTCTGTAGCTCTCCGTGTCTCTCCCGATGCACATCACTGCCCCTGCATCTGCGTGTGCACATGTGTGGATGTGTCTGTGTGTGGTTTTCCTGTAGTCCTTCTGGCCTGTGTAGGGGCTGGTCCTCTGCAGGTAACAGTAAGGGAGAGAGAAGAGCGACAAGGGAAGGATGTAGGGATCCGAGTGAAGAGAGGAGAAAAAGCCAGAGTGGAGAAGCCCGGGCTGAAGAGAGGCTGAGCAGGTGAGCTGGGGAGCTGAGCGATTGGCAGCTTCCTCGCTGCCTGGCATCCTGCTCCCTCTAGGGCTTTGGTGTAGGCACTTCAGTATTGAGAAAGTCTCTCTATTTTCCTTTTGTTTCTATAATGGCTTCATTTTCACCGTGGTAGCCCTTATACGAAGAATGACAGTCAACAGACATTTTCTTTGCATCCTTAGGAGGAGCAATGAACTTACCATTTGTCATCGCATCCTCTTCTCTCTCTGCTGTCGCTGCACCTTTGAAATGAAGAATGCTTTGCTCCCTAACGCGAGAGGATGATAGTAAGAATGGGCCAGTAGAGGCAGGCTTGGAAATTGCTTTATTTGTTTGAAAGAGAGCAAGCTAACTTCCATCCACTCGTTCACGCCCTAAGTCCATAGCAGCTGAGGCTGGTTTGTGGGAGAACCTTCGCAGGTGCCAGGTATACAATCAGGGCTGCCCATTTGGCTGCCAGGGACTCAGGTACTTGAACTGTCCCAGAACAGAGTCCAGGGTCACCAGAGGCATCCTCCCCTCCTCCTGGTGAGGTAGCTGCTCTAGGGACAGAGCAGGAGCACTGAGGCAGAGCTGGTGGCCCAACGAAAGGAACTCAGGAGATGCCATGGCCCTGCTGCACTCAGCTGCCCTTGCTGATCCCATCCACTCTCCCTGCATTCCGTAGAGCTGGCTGGTGGCACAGACGTGCAAGCTGTGTGTGGTGAGCATCCTGACGTGTAGGGCAGAGGATGGAAGCGGACTGCAGGGTAGAGGCCAGTGCCGTGACAGCAGCAACCCGGCCTCACGCAGTGAGTAGATCGCATGAGCATGTGTGGACGGAAGGGAGGTGCGGGGGAATTTCAGGACTGGACCAAGCTATGGAGCTGGGCCAGACCAAAGAAGGAAACCTGGCAGTTGCCACTGATCTCGAAAACAAATCGCTTCACCAGCCTGGGCCTCTGTTTTCAAACGTACCACATAAAGGGGTTGAGTTAAATCCAGGATCCTTCAAGTTGGAGTTGGGGTGGAGAGGTTGGATGGTGGGCCTAGGCCTTTTATTCTCATCTCACCCACACTGTTCTGTTTTTTCTCCTCCTACCCGGCTCTACTCCCTGGGTCATCTCTCTCTCTCTCATAATCACAAAGAATCAAAGATTGGAAATGGAAGGGTCAGAAAGAGGTAGGCTTGGGGAGGCACAAGGACCTTCCCTCAATCACCCTGTGTGTAGATCTAGGGCTGCCTTCCCACGCACGATTTCTCTCACGGTGAACAATGTAGTTGGTCAGTGAGTGCACCTGATGAAGCAGAGCATTCTACTGGTTCATTCTCCAGATGGCCAGGCTGAATCCAGGAACCAGCATATTCATCTGCATCTCCCACGTGGGGACAGGGGCCCCAAACAGCCACTCACAATGTCTTCTGCCACTTTCCCCAGACTATTAGCATGGAACTGGATTGGAAGTAAAGCAGCCGGGTCACAAACTGGCCCTCAGATGGGATTCTGGCATCATGTTATGTCATAACGCTGGCCCTGATTGGCCACGTTGGTTAGGGCAGCTTGGTGTCTCCCTCCTCACCTGGCCTTCCAGGCCTTCGTATCCTTCCTCTCAAGGACCCATTGACATGGGAGGGGGTGTTGGTGCTGGTTCCCACTTGGGAGACATTCAGCAGCTCTGTGCATGGTATCATGCCTGTAGCTTGATTCCCATCTTGTGAGGGTGAGAGAGAAAAAGGCCACACTGACCTTTGAACCTCCAGAAGAGTGACCTGTGAGTCCACAGTTTGCTGTTGTGGCTTCTGTGGGGCCAACCGTCCTGTGAACTCAGCTGTAGCTGGTGGCTCCTTGTACAAAACATAGGGATGTGGTGGGACACTCACATCTGGGTGAGTGTCCCATGTGAGTGTCCCATGTGGGTGGCAAGGGCCCAAGTACTAAGGACATTTTCCTTGATATTCCTAGGCATTTTAGCAGGAGCTGGATGGGAAGTGGAGCAGCTTGGGGAGACTCCAACCAACACTTTAATACGGGATACCAGCATTGACAGTAGCAGCTGAACTCGCTGTGCCATACCTATCCTTCAAATACATTTTTAAAAAGGGGGTGGGCATTTGGCTTAAAGGATAGTTGCATTCTGTATTGGAGTGTCAGGGTCCAATGTCTGCCTCTAGCTCCTGACCTCAACTTCCTACTGATGGGGAACCAGAGGGAACAGAGACAATAGATCAAAGTGAATGGGTACTTGCTACCCACATGGGAGACCTGAGTTGAGCTCCAGCCTTGCCCCAACCTCAGCCGTCACCCCCTTTGTGGGTCAACCAGTGGATGGGAGTTCTGTCTGCATGATTGTCTCTGTAAGTCCTCAAAGAACTTTGTCTCCTTAGAGTCCCCTGCACACACTGAGCTTATTGCACTCCCGTCCCATTGTGTGCAGCTGACCCCTCCCCAGTGCAGCATCCCTTCTCATCTCCCACCCATGCCACACTCATTTTTGAGCAATGAGTGCTCCAAGTTAGTCCTAACTCTTCCCCATCACAAAATGTTTCTGTTCCCCTTGTTTACATTTTCATTTAAAAGAAAACTATTTACTTGAAAGGCAGAGAGACAGAGATAAAGAGACAGAGAAGTGGGGTCAGGGGAGGAATGAGACAGAGTGAGCGAGAGATCTCCCATCCGCTGGTTCACTCCCCGAATGGCTGTAGCAACCAGGTGTCGGCCAGGCCAAAGCCAGGAACATGGAACTCAACCCAGGTCTCCTATGTGGCTGGCAGGGACTGAATTGGGAACAGAGTTAGGCTTTGCATCTAGACACTCCTATATGGAATTGTCCATCCCAAGCAGTAGTTTAATTGCTGTACCAAATCCCATTGCCCATCACCCATCTTAGTAAATAATGCTGAAAGAGGCTGAAAAGGGAAATGTTTTATCAGAACTGGATGAGCTCTACTGGGTATCTCACTTTAGGGCCGGGGGTCTAACTTTCTTTTCTTTCAGTCTCCAGCTCAGGCTGCGTTTCTGTCTTCCTCCTTTCTTCCCTCTTGTTGATTTTCTCATCTTTCCAACAGCCTGATCGTGATAACCTGCAACTTGATGTTGCAGGTTTTCCTGTCATTGATTTCTAGGATTTATGTGATTGTTGGATCTAGCCGCTTCCCAAATGCTAACCAGATGGAAGGACTCGCAGACATCCTATAGGAGAAAACACATCCCTTTGGGAATTATCCCTGAGCTTGGGGGTTTACCGTGTATCACAAGAGCCCAAGAAGCCACAGTGAAGAAAAGATCATAGAAGAGATAATTGATCATGAACATCACTAAGTTGAGGACAAGCTTTCCGTGAACAGCCCTGCAGTTGGCCAGCTCTCCTGACAATACCTGTGGTGTTTGTAATGGCATGTGAGTTGCCTTGGTTAAGAACGTGGGAACTGGGAAAGGATCACAGAATCCCATGATGAGAGAAGGGGTTTTAGTGTATTTAAGCCATGGTCAAAATGCGCTGATTTGAGGATATTGTACCTCTGGCCCATCAGGAAATGGGGTCACCGGCCAAAATGGTTTAGCTCAGGGTTGAAGGCAAGCTTGGCATATGGAACCTGGAGTGTGAAATTTGGATAGTCTTGGGCAAACAGCAGAGATGCACTGGTCAATGTCAAGGGATCTATAACGTTTTCTTTTGGGAGATTTTAAAATCCATATCCTCTTACCATTGCAGTGTGGAAACCACAAGAAGATTACGGTCCTGGTCCATCCAGGGGAGGCAGGCTGAAGCCCCAGCCTCCTGCTAGTCCTGCTTTGATGAAGGGGAAGGAGACTTCATGGGGGAACTATTGATGGATCAGGAAAAAGCATAGTAGCATAGTTCGAATCCCACAGTGTGCCATGCCTGGCCTCCCCTTGGCTCTAAGCATGGGCAGATCCAGGCAGGGGCTGACATGTGGCACTGGCCAGCCTCTGTGCCCCTTTGGAAGCTCCTGCCTTAACTCACAGGGTCTACTCCTGTTCTGTTCCTGCGGAGAGGGGCTTCCTAGGGTGGATGCAATGTCTTGGGCCCTCCCCATGTGGAACTGGGCCAAGAAGACAACGGACAGCTGTACTAGTTGTGAATTCTGGGTAGACCGAAGTCCCAGGGGTTTGAAGGGACCACCATGACCCCAGTGGTAAGGAATTTCCTCTTCCAACTCAAACTCTTTCTGCCCGTGCTGTGATCATAGCACGCAGCAGTCAGGATAGTAACCTTACCCAGCCACATGCCACGCCAAGCGTGCTAATAGATTGGAGCAAAAATGAACTGCATTCACCACAACCCAATCCCTGAACAGGGAGGACTCTGAAGCAGCCCCATAGGCGCCTTAGCTGGGTTTTATTGCTGGATCAGCTAGGGGTTCTGCCTTCCTCCGGAATGGATCCAGCTGTCCCTTATCTGCTCTTAAACGATGACAAGGAGACACTCAAGCCAGAAGAATACAGTGGCAGGGACCAGGCAGAATCGTCCTTACCAGTTCACACTGAGATCTCAGCAGCAGCCTCCAGGCAGCTCTCACTGGCGCCCTGACCCTGGACAGCAGAACCGAGCCCGGACTCGCCTGGCCGCCTCTTTGACCTCCTTGTTGCGGAGGCTGTAGATGAGCGGGTTGAGAGCGGGAATAACAAGAGTGTAAAACACGGATGCCATCTTGTCCGTGTCCAGGGCATAGCTGGAGCTGGGACGCAGGTACATGAAAATGAGTGTCCCATACAGCATGGTCACAGCCGTGAGGTGTGAGCCGCAGGTGGAGGCTGCTCGCCGACGGCCCTCGGCCGAGCGCATGCGGATCACAGCCCGGGCGATGAACCCGTAGGACACAGCGATGACCGACACCGTGGCTGTCTGGATGAAGCCACAGACGGCAAAGAGGAGGAGCTCGTTGAGACTTGTGTCACTGCAGGAGATGGCCAACAGGGGCGGGATGTCACAGAAGAAGCTGTTGAGCTCCCGCGAACCGCAGAAGCTCAGGCGGAAGGTGAAGGTTGTGTGGACAAAGGCACTCACTGCCCCACCCAGCACTGATGCTCCCAGCAAGGCCAGGCACAGGGGCCGGGACATAGCTATGGTATAGAGAAGAGGGTTTCCAATGGCCACGTAGCGGTCATAGGCCATGACTGCTAACAGGCAGCACTCAGCATCAGCCAGCCCGGCGAAGACAAACATCTGGAGGGCGCAGGCTGTGTATGGGATGGTGGCATGGGGCAGCAGCAGGTCCACTAACATCTTGGGGCCGATGGCTGAGGAATAGCAGGCGTCCAGCAGGGAGAGGTTGGCCAGGAAGAAGTACATGGGTGTGTGGAGCCGGGCATCCACACGGATCAGCAGCACCATGCCCACGTTGCCCAGCAGGCTCACCAGGTAGACGGGCAGGAATACCAGGAAGAGGGCGATGCGCAGGTCCCAGCGGTCGGTGATGCCCAGGAGGATGAACTCAGCAGGTGCAACCCCGGCCCAGGTGCGGTTCTCCAGGCTCGTCCTGCTGGACAGAGACTGAAGGAGAGGCAAGGCAGGAGGGCGATGAGAAAAAGGCACCACCATCATTAAGGACAAAGCATGGCGCCCCGGACAGGAGGTGGACTTCGGTGTCAGGACCACAGAACTCCTGTGTGACCTCGGACACACCATGGAACCTCTCACACCTTTCTTACTGCACTTCAGGCATCATCATGCGAGCCAGTGTTTGTCATACTTTTTATCTCCTGTGCTGAGACCTTGACCTGGTACCCAGCAAGTGCTCAGCCCTTAACTGTTGCATGATAATTGTTCCATGACTCCATGCACATTCTTTCTCTCTTGTGTTCCAGGGAGCAAGGGGCAGAAAGACTCTCCTGGCATAAAGGATATCTGGCTTGTAAGTGCCCGGGTCTCCTACGAGGGGTCTTTCAAAAGTCCAAGGAAAATGCACATTATGAGAAAATTATGTGTGAATTTTAATTTTTTTCTGTGTCAATATAAACTTGTTTTTAAATTTCATTTTCCACAGACTTTGTGCAGTCCCGACCCATCTCAGGAGACCAGCACGCAGTGGGAAGAGCAGGGAAGGTGACCATCTTCCTGTGCGGAATGCTTCATTTCTGACCCTCAGGGTTGCGAGGGAGCGGGGAGAGCTGCAGGTGTAATGACATGAGATGATGCATGTCACACCTCTGACACAGGGCCTGGCAGACAACGGGCACTTAACAAAGCTCCAAGGACTTGAGCTGAGTTGGATGCTTTGGCTCAATACTGGAAGGAAGCAATTAAAAAAAATATATATATATACCATGTATTTAAACAATCTCAGATAAGAGATTTTGCATATTGTAACCAAAACTAAATGAGTAATACCTGAGAAAAGAGACATGCTCACGTGATGTGAATAGCATACAATGTATGCATAGACACGTCACAGAATACTCCATCAAATGTGCAATCTATACATGCATGTTAAAAAGGAATAAAAAGAAGAGGTAGGGCCCAGCGCAGTAGCCTAGCAGCTAATGTCCTCACCTTGCATGCACTGGGATCCTATATGGGCGCTGGTTCGAATCCTGGTGGCCCTGCTTCCCATCCAGCTCCCTGCTTGTGGGCCTGAAAAGGCAGTAAAGGACGGCCCAAAGCCTTGGGACCAAGCACCCATGTGGGAGATCCAGAAAAGGCTCTGGACTCCTGGCTTCGGATCGGTGCAGCACCAGCCAATGTGGTCACTTGGGGAGTGAATCAGCATATGGAAGATCTTTGTCTCTGTCTCTCCTCCTCTCTGTATATCTGATTTTTCAATTAAAAAAATCTTTTTTTTTCTTTAAAAAAGCATAAGGTATTTGTATGTGAATGTGTAACAGCAACATGATAATCCTAGCTGAAGATCCCCTTATATTTTGGAGACAAAATATGGTGAGGAGAATATAAAGGAATTTTCAACCAGACCTGTCAAATATCAACCTTGGAAATATAGAAGCAAAATCATGTTATAACTCTAGAGTATATACATTATATTTGATTTCTTATCAGTAGAAAAAGAATATATTTTAAAAAATTGTGTTGTGCTATAATCTTTTCCAATTTGCATGTTTTTTTATGAAATAATAGACTGGGTCCTGTGTGCTAAGCATGGCCCCTGTCATTCATCTTTGCATCTCTGGGCTCTGGTGTGTGATCCGTGGTCAGCATGTGCTGGCCGAGAATGCGAAGCAGGGAAACGGTGACTGACAGCTTGGGTGCCACCACTTTCTGGTGGAGCAGCCCACATCTCTTCCCTCAGCCCAGGTTTCTCTTTTCTGGAAGGTTCTGAGAGGCAATAGGCATGCAGTAAGGGGCATGGAGCTGAATAATGATGACCCTTTTCCTCTTTAAGAGATGTTTGAATCTTTGCAGTGCACCAGTGTCTTCCTACAAAGCATCACTTGGATGACAGATTTTGACGTCCTCACATGCTGGTGAGATTGTGCAAGTGGAAATACAGACGGGATGGTTCTCACATCTGTGGTCACCCCGGGTTTTAGTCTGTTCTGATTGCTCTAACTAAGGATGATAGCCTGGGTGGCTTCAACAACAGATGCTTGTTTCTTCTCGAGCTGCAGTCTGTGGTCAGGGTGCTGGTCAGAGCAGGTGGGGCTGAAAACCCTCTTTCTGGCCTGCAGATGGGCCCTTCTCACCATATTTTTGCATGGTGGAAAGAGAGTGGCATCCCCTTATAAGGGCATTAATTCCATCACAAAGTCCCAGCCTGTCTAAGTCCTATTACCCCTATTCTACCTCTACTTGTCTTCATGTTTATTATAGGTTAGGATTCCAATAGTGAGCTTTTGGCAGAACGCAAGCCTTTAGTTCATAGCACCTACTAATCCCATTTCTTGGTGTTCACTTTTGAACAAACTCTCACAGGTGTCAATGAGGGGATATGCATGAGCATCCAGGCCTTTCTAGAATTCAGGGCCAAGCATAAATGTTTCACAGATTCACAGGAATTGGATCAGCCTATATGTTTCAATATAAGCAGAGCTCAAAAGTCTATTGAGAAATGTTCATATTAATTTATTTGTGATCGACAACAGTCATGCACGTTTATGGAGTACAATGTGACATTTTGATTAATGTGTAAGTGGTAAGAGATTCAATCAATTTAGTGAACACATCCCTCACCTCACTAAATGATCATGTTTTGGTAGTGAGAACACACACACACACACACACACACTACTCTGAAAGTGATTTTAGAATATACATGATTATTAGCTGTGGTTGCCAGGTGGGATTTTAGAAAGTCAATCTCAGAGGCATGGAAGAGAAAGGTGGTCACCAGAGGCTGGAGCCCAAGCTCAGTCCGTAACCATTTCACTGCTTCGCATTCTCAACCAGACAAAGGATCACGCACCAGGCTTCAGTTAGACGGTAGGGGGCAAGTTTTGGTGATCAATGCATTGCACTGTTTGGTGCTCCACTGTTTTACAACTACTGTACCAAAGTGTTTGTCTCCCCCTTCTATCCCCTGGACACCTGGATGTCTCAGACCATGCCCAAGTCACCTCTTTGTCCTTAGGGATAAAGGGTTTTAGGGTATCTTCCCTTCTGCTTGGTGGGAGTCACCAGCAAAGGTATGATAGGGGTATAGGAATCCCGGGGAGTTCTAGGCAGCTCCTGGCTGACCCCTTCTGCACAGAAAGCTGACATAACCCACCTTCACAAAGTGAGGATAAGAGCTGCTTTGAGTGTCTTTCCATTTCTCCATCTGTAAAAAGGGGACAAGAAGATATTAGGGATCTTTCAGTCGCTTTGAAGTTTTGGGATGCAAAGGTCTCCCCAGAAGCAGTACACAAGCATGTGTGTTTGTGTTTGCGCACAAGTTACAACTTTCCATTCACTTCTGGCTTGTGCCTTACTGCGTTTGGCAAGCAATCCTAACATTCCAGGCTGGGGTGCGTGGGCCCGGGGAAGAACCCGCCACCGACACAGGTGTGCCCTTGACAACTCCCGAGAGCTAGAAAGGAACCAGACAACTGTGGGCTTCTAGGCCTGCAGCTTCCTGGCTCCGTTTGGCTAAAGCCCATCTCTTGTCTTTTCTAATCCTGCCAACATTTTCTGTCTGACTCTGCGTTGTTCTTCCAGTACCTGGGCTTAAGACTTCTTCAAGGTTTTTTATCCTTGTATGTATATGTGCGTGCGTGCATCCACTCAGTCATCCACCTGTCTACTCAATGGATAGTTATCAACGTGCCCACGGTGACACAGGCACCATATGAGCACACAGAATACCAGTGTGAATATGACAGGTCTGTCCTTGCTCTCACAGAAGGTGAGGGCTCTTAAACCAACCGTCACACATATGAGTTCCTAAGTGGACATCCATGCAACCTGTAGGAGAGCACGGGGTCTCTCTCTCCACCTCTCTTTCTCCCTGGCCTGCTGAATGGCCTTGACGTGCCATGTGCTTGACTGGCATGCTGTCATTTGACACACATCTTTTCCTAGGCAGATACTTTCCTAAGTATCTGTTTGTGGAGGCAGAAAGCCAAGCTCAGAGAAGGGTCTTTAACATTTGAAGGTGACTTCAAGCCCATGCTCTGCTATCAGGCCGCCTGCCTGACATGCTTGTGTACTGATTGATTTCTCTGAAAGACTGACATCAGCGGGCCTGAGCCCCGTTAGTGCTTGCTATTGGAACTTCCCAGCTGTTCTCCATACTTAACACATCACTGATTCTCTACTTGGCTTCTCGATCCAAGCCTTGTTTAGTCATTTTACTCTCATTATACAGCAAATAATTCTGAACTTCTTGGCCAGACATTTCCACAAAGCACTTGTCTGGCACTGTTCATTCTGTGTAGCCCTTTGCTCTGGTGCCAACATCTTATTCACTTTTCCCTCTGTCCTCAATGCTAGACCTGATTACCCCCACGTTTTGAAATTATTGCTCTTGTCTAATTTTCTTTCCTTTCCCATTCCTGTTCAAATCTTACTGCTCTCACTCTTTCTCTCCCTTTCTCGATCTCTTTCCTTCTCCTTATTTTTCTCTTTCTTCCTCTTCCCCTTCTTCCGCGCTCCCCAAATGGCTTTAATGGACAAGCTGGGCCAAACTGAAGCCAGGAACTTCTTCTGGGTCTCCCATAAGGGCACAGAGGACCAAGCCTGTAGGCTCATTTCTGCTGCTTTCCCAGGCCCATCAACAGGGAGCTGGATGAGAAGTGGGGTAGCTGGGACCCCAATGATACCCATATGGGATGCTGGCATCACAGGTGGTGGCCTTACCCTCTATGCCACAATGCTGGCTCAATGTTATATTTTCATGCCCTATTTGGTCTTATGTATGAATCTGTTCAGTCATTATAATCTAGTTTGGTTAAATGTTAAGGAAAAAAGGTTTTCTGCCACAGTATCCCTTTAGTTTTGTGTACTCGCTTCTGCTACAGATATTCTGATATTCTCACAGGAAATTACATCTGGTAGCTCAACATCAAGTAACACCAACTGGGGTAGCCCAACACGGCTTTATGATTGGATCCTTTAGGTCAGAGATGGAGAGCTTGCAGCAAGCTGAATGCTATGCCCCCATCCAATGGTCGGGGCACACTTGGCAAATCAGTCACACTACTCACTCTCACTAAACTGATGAGTCTTGGAGCCCTTCTTGCTGAAGCCTAGGAGCTGGC